TTTTTTACTCTTATGGCAATTATGCTTTGACTGTGAATTATGTTTCCATGTTTCTTTTCTTTCTTGTTTTTTTTTTTTTTGAGACGGAGTTTCGCTCTTTTTGCCCAGGCTGGAATGCAACGGCACAATCTCGGCTCACCACAACCTCCGCCTCGCAGGTTCAGGCGATTCTCCTGCCTCAGCCTCCCAAGTAGCTGGGATTATAGGCATGTGCCACCACCCTGGCTAATTTCATAGTTCTAGTAGAGATGGGGTTTCTCCATGTTGGTCAGGCTGGTCTTGAACTCCTGACTTCAGGTGATCCACCTGCCTCGGCCTCTCAAAGTGCTGGGATTACAGGTGTGAGCCACTGCACTGGGCCCCATGTTTCTTTTCTAACCTGCAGGTTTTTATAGCCAACTGCCTATTTCATATCTTTCATATCTTTCTCTTAGATATGTAACAGGCATCTTAAATTCTCTCTGGATATACAAAAATAAGAATTTGAATCCTCTCCAAAACTTGTTCCTTTCTTATTTTTCCACATTTTAGCAATTGATACCTCCAATTCCAGTTGCTTTGGCTAAAATCATTGGAATCATCATACATTTTTGTCTGTTTTTCATACTCTACACATTCAGTAGCTCAGAAAAAACTATCAACCTTAATTCAATATATATATAGAATCCAAGCACTTTTCATAGCCTGTACTAACAACACACTGGTCCAAGCCACTGTCATCTCAACTGCATTACTGTAGTACCCTCTGAACTGGTCTCCTTGCTCCTACCCTGGTCCCATCACACTTTATTCTTCATCAGGCATCCAGATAGCTCATTTAAAAATATAAATCAGGTCCAGTGTGGTGGCTCATGCCTGTAGTCCCAGCCCTTTGGGAGGCTGAGGCGGGCGAATCACGAGGTCAGGAGATGAAGACCATCCTGGCTAACATGGTGAAACCTCATCTCTACTAAAAATACAAAATATTAGCCAGGTGTGGTGGCTACACGCTTGTAGTCCCAGCTACTCGGGAGGCTGAGGCAGGAGAATCACTTGAACCTGGGAGGCTGAGGTTGCAGTGAGCTGAGATTGCGCCACTACACTCCAGCCTGGGTGACAGAATGAGACTCTGTCTCCAAAAAAAAAAAAAAAAATTTATATATATATATATACACACACACACACACACACACACACACATATATATGTGTGTGTGTGTCTATAAATCAGAGTATGTCAGTTCTCTGCTCAAAACCTTGCAGTGGCTCCCATCTCACTCAGAATAAAACAGTAGTCATACTGGTCTACAAGGCCATATAGAGACTCGTCTCCATTTGCCTTGCAGATCTTATTGGTTTTTAATTTGCATCCTCTCCAATAGCAGCAGTGGGTTCTTGACCCTCACAAAATAGAAATCGACAAAGAATATAAGATGGACTTGAGCAAGGCAGTTTATTAGGGCTTTCGGCTTGAGCAGAAAGGGAGACAGCAGCCAGAGGTATACTTGCAGCTGGCTCCTTGAAAGCAAGCTAGTGTGTACTTTGTTATTCTTTTCTGGGCTTTGTCCAGGTGACATCATGGCATGTTTGGGGTGGTCTGTTTTGGAAACACCTTTGCAGTCCCTTGTCATGTTTTTTCCTGTGTCTCAGGCCTCACTGGCATCTTAAATCTTCATGCAGGGGTATAATTTTTATCATTAACATGATGCAAAATTTACGTTAGGATAATCTAAGACCCTACAGTGCATGTTCATTTGGGGAAGGTCTTTTGGAAGTCCCTATGCTGATGGCCAGGATGTTTGTGGTTAGAGTGTTCTATTTCTTTGATGTCTGATTGCTTGATTTTATGAGCGGAAGCTTCAGTGGCTGCAAGGTTATGGAGCTGGGTGCTGCTGTAGTCAGCGTAGCATGTAAAGAAGTGTGGTGGGGTCCCTTGTCCTGCCTTCCAATGTCTGCCTCACTTCTGCCCCTTTTTCCAGCCATAATACTTGCTTTTTACCTCCAGGCTTTCTTGCTTGGTATTCCATTTGGAATATTCTCCTGTAGCAGGACGAGCCGCAGACAAAACTCAGACACCGGATTAAAGAAGGAAGAGGTTTTTTATTCAGCCAGGAGCGTCCTCACTTTCTCAATGTTTTTTTCTTTATCATTTTATGAGTAAAATTTCCCAAGACAGTATCATTTAAAATATCACCTCTTCCCACCACATGCTATGCCTTTTCCTGCTTCAGTGATCTTCATAGCAGTCAGCACCATCTGACACAGTATGTTTTGTTTTGTGTGTGTACCACCACCCAATAAATATAAATTCTATGTACACAGACATATTGTTTTGTTCTTTCTCATTCACTGCTTTAACTCCCAGAGCATAGAACAATGCTTGGCACATGCTATGTGCTCCTTTTTGTCGCTGTTGTTACACTAACATCCTCATAAAACTTTTTCTCCTCAAACCAGTGCCTTAGTACCAATAACATGATGCTTTTCATATATATGCACAAGGTCACACTTTTAAAAAATGACATTCAAAATAACTATTTTCCTGATTTCAAAGTATCAGCCTACGGATTACTTGTTGGCTAGAAGAAAAATCTCATTTTCAGTGGAACTATCACCCTAAACCACCAATTTTTTTTTTTTTTTTTTGGCAGTCTTTCTCTGTTGCCTAGACCGGAGTGCAGTGGTACCACCTTGGCTCACTACAACCTCCGCCTCCCAGGCTCCAGCCATTCTCCTAACTCAGCCTTCTGATTAACTGGGATTACAGGCGCCTGCCACCATGCCCGGTTAATTTTTTTTATTTTAGTAGAGTTGGGTTTTCACCATGATGGCCAGGCTAGTTTTGAACTCCTGACCTCAGGTGATCCGCCCACCTTGCCCTTACAACGTGCTGGGATTAGAGGCATGAGCCACTGTGCCCAGCCCAAACCTGCGATTTTTCTATCACTTTGAATTTGCATAAAACCAGACATCAAGTGCTTCTGATGTAGTATACTACTATGTACATTAAATGTGTAAACTGTTCCTGACAGGTATATTCACCTTTCAATTAAGTGTATGGAAGTCACTTGTACTTTACAGGACATGGAGAATACAGAAGCTAAAATGATTAAGAATCAAGCCAATCCAAAAAAAAAAAAAAACCATTCTGTAAGTCTGGTCTTCAAAAAATCAACGTCCAAAAATGGGGAAGTAGGGGAGAGGAGCCTGTTTTAGATAAGAAAACTGGAGACACAACCGAAGTTATGGCGGCATCCTTCTTTAAACAAACCAGATCTCCAAGACATCTGGGGCATAACCGGGATGTTTTCAATGTGGAATGAGTACATGTCTTTTTTGAACAATAGACAATGAGATCCAAGTAGGAAGTAACGAAGGCTTTATTTTCAGAGGGAGAAGAATCCCAGGATGTAGTGAGCACTCTGTGTCAGTGAAGGGGAGCTGGAATATATACATGCTTTACAGTCAATCCTACATCACAGATTAAGTAGGTTTGGAAAAATTCTTTGAATATTATTCATGAGGGAAGTCAGGCACTTACACTTTGGCAAAACATGTAACATACATTTCATGTGAACCATGGGGAGGATTTTAGCATTACAATGAGGTGGGATTTAGCTTTATGCTAAAAGATGAACTGTAGGGCACAAAGACAATTTGTTCAATCTCTACAAGCTGGCTGAAACTGGCTTAAGGTCTATGTCCACTTATCAATAACGAATATATGTGACTGGTCCTCTAATTGGAGTTGTGGCAGGACTGCAAAACAGGGGAAAGGGATTTCTGGCTGGTCAGAATCCGTTGGAACATTTTCTAACTAGTTTCTACAATGCTTTCCAGCAGTTAGTTTCTGCTTACAGGAAAGAAATCATACGGCAATTAACACTAAGATGATTAATCCTTCATTTTTTCTGCTAGCCATGCAACTCGATTATGTGGGGTTTACTATATACTCAACAATTTGGGGTATAATGTCCTATTATAGCATAGTATGTATACTATAAAAACTGTCATAAACATTCTACCTACTTTTTAAATGTTTTTGTTACCGAGATTCCAGGGGTTCAGTCCAGGTCCTGCTGCTCGCCAGAGAATTTCAATGACCTAGGAGGGAAGGCTTTAATCCCGTGCTGCTGCTTAGGAGAAAGGGAGATGAAATCACAAATCCGTCTCCCGGACCAAAATTGGGGGGGTTTATGTAGCGAGAAGAGCGAGAAAACAGGAAATCAGGGAGTGCTAAGGAAGCAATCATGATGGTTGAGAAACATGGAGTCTCACGGTGTGGATGCAGTGATCCGGTGAGTTTCAGTTCCTCGCTTGAGGCAGGCATATGAGTTCCTAAACTTTAAGATTTGTCTCATGTGAGTTAAATGTTAAATTTCAAGCTTTAGGGTAGGATTAAAAGGTCAAATTTTTTTATTTAAAAAACAGCAGATATTAGAACTTCCTAAGGGACAACTGGGCTGGCTTCCTTAATATTCCGAAATGCATACTTGCAACCTCTCCTCGCGTGAGCTGATCTACCCCAGGGGCCTCTACACACCAGAAACTCGGTGGTTAACACAAAACAAGCCGCCAGGATTTAAAGCCCACATTACCGCCCAGAAGATTCGTTATGCTAATTCGCGTATCCGCCCGTTGCCAGGCACCGGCTTTGTTCCTCGCTGTCCGCCATTTTGAGCGGTTACGCACTCTGGCAGTTTTCCTACTTACTTACGTGAAAAACCATGCAGTTTTAAGTATTTAAAAAAAAGAAAGGCAAGAGAAACAGATGAGACACCACCACTCTAACCTTTTCGGTGCAACCTAAGCCCCTACTATACCTCCCGAAAAGGCTATGCCTAATATAGCAATTCTAAATGCAAAAGGATCCTAGCCTTAAAAATCGTATGCTGAAACCAAATATAATTTGGAACAACAACAAAAAAAAACCGCGAAAGACATACGTACCTGTGGATAGGAACAATGACTTATGAAGTGACTAAGTGGTTAGCAAAAGTCATTAGCTCTTTTAAGGAAAAGTGTGGGCGGCCCTGAAAAGGGCCTTTAATTTGGGATAGTTGAGATGTTGAGTCGTTCAAGCAAGAGCCTTAGCCGCCGAAGCCGTAAAGAGTGCGTCCCTGTCGTTTGAGAGCGTAGACCACATCCATAGCTGTTACGGTCTTGCGCTTGGCGTGCTCCGTGTAAGTAACAGCGTCACGGATTACGTTCTCTAGAAACACCTTCAGCACCCCGCGGGTCTCCTCATAGATGAGTCCAGAAATGCGCTTGACACCGCCGCGCCGAGCAAGACGCCGGATAGCAGGTTTGGTAATACCCTGGATGTTATCTCGCAAGACTTTGCGGTGACGCTTGGCGCCCCCTTTACCCAAGCCTTTTCCGCCTTTGCCGCGACCAGACATGGCGAACCCGAACCAGCCTGAAAGACCAACTGGAGAAATCTGGAAGACCAGCAACGGTAGTACCCTTATATGCTGGGAATTCGGACCTAATTGAAGACTGAAAACGCACATACGGGAACTTTGGTACTGCCTGCTGGCCCCACCCCTCACAGCTCAGACCCGGATGACGTCACCAAGGACACCAGTTCCCGCCGGAAGAGTGCGCTCTCCATGGAGGCATCTCTGCAAGTCTTACGTCCCCAAAGAGGAAATTTAGGCCTATTTTAACAACTAAATGAGATTAAATATATTAACATTTTTAGGTTAATATCATTTATTGCTTGGATTCTCTAGAACGATTGAACAGGAGCTTCGGCTCACAAGACGAACTGTAGCAATCTCCTTCCATGAGGAGTTCGGCTTTGTTCCCACAGGCATGGTGCCTCTGACATTTCTGCTGCTTGCTCTCTTGGGGACCGAACCCCCTTAGGAAGTGTTTGAAAACTGCAAGATCTCACCCTCTCCAGCACCAAGCTAAGGGAAATCTGACCAAAAGGGTTTTCTTCCCGAAGAGAAAAATATGGATAATTAGTGATCCGTCGGGCGCTGTGGCTCACGACTGTAATCCGAGCACTTTGGGAGGCTGAGGAGGGCGGATCACCTGAGGTTGGGAGTTCAATACCAGTCTTTAACATGGAGAAACCCCGTCTCCACTAAGAACACAAAATTAGCCGGGCGTGGTGGCGCATGCCTGTAATCCCAACTACTTAGGAGGCTGAGGTAGGAGAATTGTTTGAATCCAGGAGGCAGAGGTTGTGGTGAGCCGAGATCACAGCATTGCACTCCAGCCTGGGCAACAAGAGTGAAACTCCGTCTCAAAGAAAAGAAAGAAAATTAGTGATCCCATTAATTCTAGTCCTCATTGTGGAGGCCCGTGTTACAATTTTGGCTTTTCTTTCTTCCCTGTTTATTAAAATTTATAATTCTCATTTAAACAACTAGCTAACTCGCACATCTAAACCTAAAAACCCACTGGTGTGTTAATGTTTAGTTCTCTATTGTTAGTTTTCTTTTCTTTTTGATTCTGGTAGCAGCCTTTATCACAAGAGAATTGGCAACGTGTAGTGGGCCAAGGTATTAAATAGGCGACTTCCTACAGACTTTTAAAATAAAAGGTGGTGTTGGGAGTCAGAAAACTACAAAATGACGGCCTCAGCAGTTAAGTTTTTCTCCTTCTACATTCCTCTCTCTCCCTCCCATTCTCCCGGGAAGCTAGCTATAGGAACTAGACTCCTTCCTCCCCAAGATGGAACATATAAACCAAAGCTAGCCCCAAAGCTGGCCATAAAACCTAAAAATAATCAAATTTTCCTCCTTTCCATACAAATGTTAGGATTTCTACTGTGAAAAGAAATCAATTATGTAGAGACTAAACAAAAAGGAACTGTAAATTGCTGCTGTTAAAATCCCACCAATATCAAAATTCTGTGAGCCTGTGATATTTAGGAAGAATTTACATACTTCTATAATAATGGTAATAGTATTTACATATTTGTATTTACATGTATAAAATTGTAATTTAATAGAACATTAGTTAATATGTTAATGAATTGGGTTTGTTTTTTTTTTTTTTGAGTTTTTTGGCTGTAAGTTTATTCAATGCAAAATAATCCTCTCCAGTTTTGCTGAGGTGGCTGACCACGTCCATGACCAAATCTGCCTCTAAACTGGAATTCGGTTGCTGATCCAGCCCCAGCCTTGGCTTTCTTGTCAGCACCAGGGGACACAGCACTCCGTCTGTAGGTATCGCTGTTGGGTTCTCCTATTGTGAGTCTTGCAGGTTGCTCACCCTCCATCCAAACCTTTAGGCCGAGGGCTGCCAGGCTCTGGACTCTGGATGACTGCGGCCTTCAGTGGCAGGCACAATCTCTGGGGGCAGATGAAGGTAATTATGGAGATACTGGATGCTCTCATTGGTAAGGTACCAGTAGAAATGTCTCCAGGCAAACTGTTCCTTCAAGTAGCCTTGGGACTCGAGAGACTGCATGGCCTTCATGACACAAAGGTTGGGCACATTCTTGTCTGCCATTTCTAGGTGCTTAAGCATATGGACATCCTTCTTGGTCACCATGACTCCCTGCTTAAAAAGGAGTTCATAAATGGCAATCTGGTTCTTCTAAGGCATCAACATCTCGGCGACTGTGGGGTCTCGGGCCAGGGCTGGTACATTACTCAATTCTTAAACTTGTATAGTTGCACTGGTTTCCTATTGCTGGTTTGAAAAATTATCACATTTTATGATTAAAAAATACAAATTTGTAATTATATAGTTTTTAAAATTGGGGTTCAGTCAGATCTTACTGAGCAAAAGAGTCAAGGTGTTGACTTGATATTAACTAAAGAAATAAAGAGCCTGTGTCTTTTCTCTTGCCTTTTTACCCTGTAGATGCCACTCTCTCCTTGGATCATGGTCCTTTTCTTTCACTTTCAAAGCTGGAAATTTATGGCCAAATCGTTCTCATGCTGCCATATCTCTAGTTCTCTATTCCAATTCCCTCTTCCACTTTTAAGAATCTTTGTAATTGTATTGGGTTAACTCGTAACATGCAGGATAATCTCCTTAAGGTCAGCCAATTTAGTAGCCTTAATTCCATATAAACCTTAGTTGCCCTTTGTCACGTAATGTAACAAAGACTGCAGGAATTTGCAGACTCCAGGGATTAGGATGTGGTCATCATTGGGGTAGCCTTATTCTGCTTAGCACAGTGGATCACAATATTTTTAGAATCTGATAGAAAGCTATATAATTTGTTCTGGGAAGGAGAAACACATATGGCCACATTTTTGCATATAATTTCAGAAAGTTGTTGTATTCTCCTCAAGCTGATGTACACCTTAGTTTAGATATTTACTTATGGAACTACAGAAAGCAAAAATCGACTGCTATACCAATGTAAATTTGCACATGAAGCTATTTAGTATTTTTAGCTTTCATTTTTCTAGGTTTTTCTTGTTGTTTTCATATTTTCAGTTGGGGTTTATTTGAATGTTTATATATGCTTTGTAAGTGCTGTGTTCTGTGTCCATTTATGTGCCAGACAGGGAGTGGGAAGTTGAAAAAAAATTGTGGGACGGGTGCAGTGGCTCACACCTATAATCCCAGCATTTTGGGTGTCTGAGGAGGGTGGATCACCTGAGGTCAGGAGTTGGAAACCAGCTTGGCTAATACGGAGAAAGGCCGTGTGTACTAAAAATATAAAAATTAGCCGGGTGTGGTGGCAGCTGCCTCTTGTCCTAGCTACTTGGGAGGCTGAAACAGGAGAATCACTTGAACCCAGGAGGCGGAGGGTGCAGTGAGCCAAGATCGTGCCATTGAACTCTAGTCTGAGCGATAATAGTGAAACTTCGTAACAAAAAAAAAAAAAAAAAAAGAAAAGAAAGTAATATAGAATACTATTCCTTTTTTCTTAACTGGGTTGAAATTCTAAGAATATTTTGTATAAAATATTTTAAATATTTTTAAAATACAAGAATATTTTGTAAAAATTCTAAGTATTCTACAATGGATGCCATTCATAACAATTTATGATCTTAAGTAAGGTTTGTAATTACAAGCAATACACTACAACTTCAGTATCTTTATATGTGAGTATATAGAATAGAAAAATTGTGGTATTTGTAAGTAGAATGACATAAATTATTTTTTCATTTAAAAATCACAATTTTTGCCTATTAGAATAAAATGAACATATATGAAGTCAACCTTGAAGGAAAAAAAGTAAAAAACAACTTTGAGGAAGTGACAACAAAATATTTTAGGGTTAAGGGTGTTTCTCTCCTGGACTTCCAGTTATTACTCACAAATGTTATTTTGCCAGTAGCCAAACTTTTCTTTAAACAAAGAACAATTTTGATTATTAGTGCTGCATCCAGGCACCGGTGTTCACATTTTTCAGTTTTCATGCACATGGCTTGTCTTGCTTTCCTTATATTTTGAAGATTTTGATTATATTATTTTAACCAGGCAAACTTGCCAATGCTGTTATGACTAAACCGGAATTAAGGAAGACATTCTTTTTCCCCACACTGTCAGTAGCAAAGGAAATATTACTTAATTTCAAAAGTTCTTTGCTTATGTAACCAGTTTGACAAGGGACACATCACAGCACAACATAAGAAAAATGTGCACATCAGCACAATGGGCTAGCCTTGTAACCAGCACTTTGGGTAAAATAAATACGCTACCACTAACTTAAGATTAAGTACAGCATTTTGCCTTAAAGCAGTCAAAAGAACTGTGCTCTAGACCTACACAGCAGCAAACCCTTCAAATCAAGATAAAACCAAATCTGTTGGTAAACACAGAAAATATGCAGGTAATTACAACTCTATAGCTGAAAAAGTGGGTGGCTCTTAAAAGAGCCTTTGGGATTGGGTATGAAGACGTTAGAATTACTTAGAGCTGGTGTACTTGGTGACAGCCTTGGTGCCCTCGGACACGGCATGCTTGGCCAGTTCCCCGGGCAGCAGCAGGCGCACGGCAGTCTGGATCTCCCTGGAGGTGATGGTGGAGCGCTTGTTGTAATGCGCCAGGCGGGAAGCCTCCCCAGCAATGCGCTCGAAGATATCGTTGACGAAGGAGTTCATGATACCCATGGCTTTCGATGAGATGCCAGTGTCAGGGTGGACCTGCTTTAGCACCTTGTACACGTAAACGGAATAACTCTCCTTGCGACTACGCTTGCGCTTCTTGCCATCCTTCTTCTGCGCCTTGGTCACCGCCTTTTTGGAGCCCTTCTTTGGGGCAGGAGCAGACTTAGCAGGTTCAGGCATCTTAAAGAAACACCTCGCCCACAACCTAAAGAAAAATGACAAGTATCCTCACTCTGCAGCTCGTAATATCTCTAGAGCTGGTGTCCTAAACTGGCGTTTGAAACCTTACATATTGATTGGATAAATTGTCTCTGTGTGCCCTGTCGTATGCAAATTAGGTGATTCTCGCGATTCTTTGTAATTGGTAGGTTGTTCTAGCCAATCAAATAGCGTTATTTACAATTCGGCCTCCAAGTATAATAGTTTCTCACTTGCTAACAAAATTCAGTTTTACATTTTTCACTGCGTTGCTCAACATCTATTTTAAGATATCAAAATGTCCGGACGCGGCAAGCAAGGCGGAAAGGCTCGAGCCAAGGCTAAGACCCGATCTTCTCGGGCCGGGCTCCAGTTCCCTGTGGGCCGAGTGCACCGCTTGCTCCGCAAGGGCAACTACTCCGAGCGAGTTGGGGCCGGCGCGCCGGTGTATCTGGCGGCGGTGCTGGAGTACCTGACTGCCGAGATCTTGGAGCTGGCGGGCAATGCGGCCCGCGACAACAAGAAGACTCGCATTATCCCCCGACACCTGCAGCTGGCTATCCGCAACGACGAGGAGCTAAACAAGCTGCTGGGTAAAGTCACAATTGCTCAGGGCGGTGTCCTGCCCAACATCCAGGCTGTATTGCTCCCCAAGAAGACTGAGAGCCACCACAAGGCCAAGGGCAAGTAAAACGAAAATTTGTATATTGACTTTTTACGGAGGCAATCTTAACCAAAGGCTCTTTTCAGAGCCACCCATGTACTCATTAAAAGGGCTCATATTTTTTTCCATGTCATTTTGCAGTTTTCTTTAGTAATTCTTCTACTTATAAGTTGGTGTCCTTACACTGTGTAACGTGAAACTAACCTTCCATTTTAAAGTCGCCATAAAAATAGTTAAGCAAATCGGCGGGGCGCGGTGGCTCACGCCTGTAATCCCAGGACTTTGTAAGGCCGAGGCTGGCGGATCACAAAATCAGGAGTTCCAGACCAGCCTGACCAACATGGTGAAACCCCATCTCTACTAAAAATACAAAAATTAGCCGGGCGTGGTGGCGCGCGCCTGTAATGTTAGCTACTAAGGAGGTTGAAGCAGGAGAAAAGCTTGAACTGAGGCTGAGGTTGCAGTGAGCCGAGATCGGGTCACTGCACTCCAGTTTGGGCGACAGAGAGATACTCTGTCTTGGCCGGGCGCGGTGGCTCAAGCCTGTAATCCCAGCACTTTGGGAGGCCGAGACGGGCGGATCACGACGTCAGGAGTTCGAGACCATCCTGGCTAACACGGTGAAACCCCGTCTCTACTAAAAAATACAAAAAACTAGCCGGGTGAGGTGGTGGGCGCCTGTAGTCCCAGCTACTCGGGAGGCTGAGGCAGGAGAATGGCGTAAAAACCCGGGAGGCGGAGCTTGCAATGAGCTGAGATCCGGCCACTGCACTCCAGCCTGGGCGACACAGCAAGACTCCGTCTCAAAAAAAAAAAAAAAAAAAAGGCAAAGTAATTAAAATGCAGAGAGAGTATATGTGACAGGTAATTTAAATCGATCAATGCAGCAGCCCCTTACGATTGCAAAGCTGTTAAAAGGCGTGAGAAATACAGAGAAGAGGTTAATGTTCGTCAGTGTTTACATTTACATATGAATGTAGTGACTTAAAGCAACAGAACCAGAAACAACCTTTTATTATCTTTTGTATGCATCTTAATGATACGAAATTACCTGCAATTTGTAAGGATTTTTGAGGTCTGTTTTTGCTTTTTGCAAGCCACTTTCCACTCTACTGAGCTAACTCTCATTAATTATAAATAGGAATATAAACCTACATCCCCTGGAGCCAGATGGCCCTTAGGTGGAGCTTCTTTTCTTTGCACAGTGTTCAGCATGACTACAAGGGCACACTGGTCTTTTTGTGCCATTTATAAATTTGGCTATTTCTTTTCTTTACAGCAGATTACACAAATACCAGTTGAACTTGTAAAAGATGAGAGTGCTTTCATGTGAGGATGTCACATTGTAGTTAAATATGTGTTCATGTTGCTTGGCATCAGGTTTCAAATTAATAGTCATGGTGTACTTGGAACAAATTATTGAAAATATCTCCAAATTTAAATAGACAAATCAAGATATAAAATTAGCCTTTCTAAACTTGAGGGTAAAAAGAAATCACTTGACCAATCACAACTAGCGCGCGTTTTTTCAAAACGTTGATCAAAGCCAGTTTCAGGCGCCAACGTTTTTTTAAAAATTAAGTAAGACACGCTATCCTAGTAGCTAGATAAAATTTTGCAGAGGAAAATCAAAGTACGTTTTTTAAAAAAGCCAGAAAAATGGCACAGAGGGGAAAGGGTTGAAAACACCAGCAGTTAAAGGAGACGGACGGAGGAAAGTTTTAATATTTGGTCTACATGCAGGAGATGTTCTGTCAGGGAGTGGAGGTCTCCACCAATGGAGCTGCAGGGGAAAGGCTGCCTGGTCCAATCAGAACAGGGCTGCCTTTATATATACGGGTAGAAAAGCCTAGGCTTTCGGTTTTTCGTCATTTAGCAGGGTTTAGAAGTTCGCAATGGCTCGTACCAAGCAGACAGCTCGCAAGTCCACGGGTGGGAAGGCGCCACGCAAGCAGTTGGCCACCAAGGCTGCTAGAAAGAGCGCTCCGGCTACCGGCGGCGTGAAGAAGCCCCACCGCTACCGGCCCGGCACCGTGGCTCTGCGTGAGATCCGCCGCTACCAGAAGTCGACCGAGTTACTGATTCGCAAACTGCCATTCCAGCGTCTGGTCCGTGAGATCGCGCAGGATTTCAAGACCGATCTGCGCTTCCAGAGCTCGGCGGTGATGGCGCTGCAGGAGGCCTGCGAGGCCTACCTGGTGGGGCTCTTTGAGGACACCAACCTATGCGCCATTCACGCCAAGCGAGTGACTATCATGCCCAAGGACATCCAGCTTGCTCGCCGCATTCGTGGGGAGAGGGCGTAAATTTTGTTGTGAATGTGTGCTAACCAAAACCCAAAGGCTCTTTTCAGAGCCAACCACCTTTTCTATAAAAGTTGCTGTGTACTGTTGCTGTCCGTAAACTGGAATCTCTGTTCAGTCAAGGTAAGTAAGCATTCTTACCTCTATCCCTCTCCCCTCCCTTCACGGAATTGGTGTAAAAAATTTAATAATTGGGCAGTTATTAAAACAGCCTTTAAGGTACTCTAGTTTTTAATTTCTGTTTTTGGGGGGCCGCTTTCTGGGGCTTGGGTACCTCCGGCTTGGGAACTTTCTTGGCCACCTTTGACCAACCAACCTTTTTCTCCAGCAGCCTCCATCCGCAAAAGCCGCCTTTGGGGTCTGCTTAGTACTTTTCTTCGGAATAAGGGCGCCCCAAGCTTTCTTGGGCCTTTCGGCTGCCGGGACAGCTGTCTTGGGCATGACGGCAGCGGCTTTCCTGGCCTCGGTCTTGATTTTCCTAAGACCGCCTCGTTTAGCGGGAACGAATCCGAGGCGCTGCTCTTCTTAGCACGAAGATGCCCTCGTTTGTTTTCAAGGCTTAACCTTATTCAAATGATTTTTTAAAATTTGTATTTATTTTTACAACGAGGTCTCACTATGTTACCCAGGCTGATCTCAAAACTCCTCAGCTTGGCCAGGCGAGGTGGCTCAGTCTTGTAATCACAGCACTTTGGGATGCCAAGGCGGGCGGATAACGTGATGTCAAGAGTTCGAGACCAGCGTGCCCAACACATTGAAACTTCATCTCTACTGAGAATACAAAAATTAGCCAGGTGTGGTGGCACACGCCTGCAGTCTCAGCTACATGGAAGGCTGAGGCGGGAGAAGGACCTGAACGCGGGAGGCGGAAGTTGCAGTGAACCGAGATGGCCCCACTGTACTCCAGCTTGGGCAGCAGAGCTAGGCTCCGTCAAAAAAAAAAAAAAAAAAAAAAATCCCCAAACACAAACAAAACCACCAAAAACAACTCCTTAGCTTAAGAGATTCTCCCGCCTTGGCCTCCCAAAATGCTGAGATTACAGTACCGCGACCGGCAAGCTCCGGCTTAATGCGGCCGCTCATACTTAACATAGCCGCCAACACCTTGAGCGCGGCCGCAGACAGGCTGCTAGGTCATTAGTGAACTCAGGTACCGAAGGAGCCTGGATGTCTTGCGCTTCACTGCACCTTCGGACTCGCAAACCTTTTTCTTTACTTAAGTCTTTGACTTGGGAGATACACCAGGAGTCACGGCATGTAAAGTTTCGGACTTGATTGTAGGTTTGGATATCTAATAGTTAAAAAAAAAAAAAAAAATCAGGCTGCGAGTGTATCTATGATTACGTGTTATGTCACACATAGACACGCTGCGCGCTGATTGGTTCCCAGCTCAGTCTTTCAGCTTGGCAGCAACCTAGTCTCAACCCTGTTTCTGAGTTGTTTGTTGAAATTCAGAAAAGCAAAATAGTTTAAATTTCCTGAGGAGGAATCACACCAATTCTATTCTACAATGAACCAGAACGGCTAAGCCTTTATGATCTTTACATTTTCTTTCTCTAGTTTTTATTAAGGCAGCCTCGGCCTTTATCAAACGCTCCAGCTTTCAGAGATTCACAGTTCAGAGGGACAACTTCATTTTCATTTAAAATATAAACTATTCCATTTGTGTCTTCAATTGCTTGCTGTCTCATAATAGCCTACACATTTTTGGCCTATCATACAGTGAACAACTACTTGATTTTCATTGAGATTTAACCAGGAAATCTGTTTTATATGAGAAGAGAAATAACAGGTTCTTTTTGAATTTCTCCAGAAGAACAGCAGTACGGATACTTAGAACAACAGCTCTTTCTGATAAAATTAGTTGGGGCTCAAAATGTTTTATGATAGCTTCTTGTTACTATTTGGATATTTAGTTAATTTGGGAGGGTTCAAATAAATGTTCAACATTTCCTTGGGAAAATGGGAAATACAATGATCAGTGATTCTCCTGATGTTGGGACTGTTTGCATAGCTGAACTCAGGAGAGATCCAGGAAAGGGCATAAAAGACAGAGAGTTTGACTCGTTTATGAGTCAAAAAAAATTTTTTTTAAAAATTTTTACTGGGGGAAATTAATTACTAAAATGTTCATGAGTCTTTGGATTCAGGGGTCTGTCATGCTTGGGGACATGGGGAAGATAAACTTTTGCAAAATATTCAAGTAACAGGATCAAGTATTATACACACAAGCACCACACACACACAAAATTCCCTAGAGAGAGAAATTTAAAGAACAACCGTGTTTCATATTCAGTACTACATTTCTTGTTTAAACAACGATATAGGCTTATAGTGAATGAAGTACAGCTGATGTTCAATATGAGAGGAAAATGGAGTGATGGCAGAAAGTGATTTAACTGATTTTCTTCACTCCTCAATGTCTTGAACATATGTTGATCTGGGGAGCATATACATTTATATGTTTTACTAAGACTATGAAGGAAGTAAATGCTGGGGACAGAGCAAAACCCAAAAGGTGAGGGTTTCACACTTTTTGATCGCATCAAAATACAAATGACTTCATGTAGCAAATGCAACTAGGACATGAACAAATTAATGTTAATAAAAATTAAAATCAAATGGTTGAGATGAGAAACGAGCCAAATATGAATCACATTTACTTTGAGTGTGTATTCACTTTTTATGGAGCCCATGTATTTCTAATCTTAAAATGGCTTTAAC